ACTCGTCGAATCCTGGCTCGGTCATTTTAGCGATCGCGAGGTTGCCTGCTGTGGTGGACGTCGGGGATGAATCTTTTGGAGGCACAGTGGTCATCAATCCTGGAGGCCCAAGCGGTTCCGGCGTGGGCATCCTGCTTTGGTCCGGCAAGAGCATCCAAAATATTCTGGATGGTGACAAGCATTTTGAGATCCTGTCTTTCGACCCCCGTGGTGTACAATTCTCAACGCCCAGTTTGGCCTGCTTTCAAGATGACGCTGTGAGAGACACTCTCAGTCTCCTGGCAGCAGGCGCTGGAAGTCTCGAATCCAATCTCAATGCCTTGAATGTTAAATGGGCCATTGACCAAAGCCTTGGCCTTCTTTGCGCACAAACGAGCAAAGGCAGATTTCCCGATGGTTCAAGTATTCGTCAGTTTGTGAGTACGGCGTTGGTGGCCCACGACATGATAGAAATCATTGATCAAGTTGACATACATCTGCGGAGAGAGCTGAGGTCGAAAGACAGTCATGCTCGTAATCAACAGGCGCTTGACTCGGCAGAGTCAAACGAGGGTCCTCCGCTGCTTAACTACTGGGGTCTATCGTATGGCACCTTCTTGGGAAATACTTTTGCTTCTATGTTTCCACACCGAATTGGCCGCATGGTCTTGGACGGGGTTGTCGACGCAGATGACTATATTGCTACAGGATGGACAACTAATCTCCAGGACAATATGAAGTCGTGGACCAAGTTCTTCGAGTATTGTTTCGATGCCGGGCCAAAGTGTGCTCTATCGGATCCTACGATTAGTGGGCCTGAAGAGATGCGATGGCAAGTAGAGAACTTTGTCGATGGCCTCAAGAACAACCCCTTACCCTTGGTCCAAAACGACAATGCTTACATCCTCACTTACTTCAACATGAAGGCCATCATTCATGTGCACCTATATCAACCCATCCAATTGTGGCCGCTTTTGGCTTTGGTTCTCAAAGCTCTGATGGAGCAAGACATCTCTAGAGCCATGTCAGCGTGGGAGAGCTGGCCGTTCCCTGAATCTGGGGACTTTGCACCACTGCTTCCAAATGTCCCTCACATGGCTCCGTCACCAGACGGCTTTATCGGAAAGGACCTACCGCTCCCGTCAAGTTATCCGTGGCAACTAGAATCCAGCGTCTCTATCCTCTGTGGGGATGGTGACGACATCACTTTTCGATCGAAGCGGGACTTTACAAAGTACCTGGATCTATTGCTATCACAATCTCCCGTGGTAGGATCCATCTGGGCCGAAATTACCCTACATTGCATCCTCTGGGATCCAACCAACCGACCTTCTCCCAGAAACCGGTTCACTGGTCCGTTCCAGTCGAACCTCTCCGATTACGACCCACGTGGGAGCCCGCTGCTGTTCATCGGCAACACAGCGGACCCGGTGACGCCGGTGCGGAATGCGTTCAAAATGGCACAACGGCATGAAGGCAGCGTCGTTGTCACCCAGGATATGCCGGGACACTGCGCGGGCACGACCAACCCCAGCGTGTGCACGTTTGGGATCTTGAAAAGGTTCTTCGCCCACGGCGAGTTACCGCAGGCTGGACTTGTGTGTGAGGCGGCGGTGAAACCATGGGATAAATGAGGGTAGGGAAACCAACGGTGTGTCTATGGATATATATTGCGAGGGTCGGAGCAAGGAGGGAGGGATCAGCCTGATGGTGCAACAAGGCGGATGCTGGGCCACGAGTTTCATATATACATCACTAGATCATGTGGGATGACGTGCATATGCGCTTGAACATGTCAATGAATTTGGACAACATACCTAACTACCTACGGAGACATTGCGAGGCTGTACGACATACAGCAGGTACGAGGTCCATTTATCGACAAGTACTGCGTGCTGTAGACAATTGGTCTGGCAGTACCTACAGATAAGAAAATCATCCACCCTTATCTACACGTGATATCAATTTTCAAACAAACTCTCCCACTCAACTCGAGTGCCATATCCTTTCTTCTTCACTTTTATTCCTCTTCACCTTCAAAATCTTTTCTCAGCCTGTACAAAATAATCCCCAAACTAATACTTACTCAAACCTAGAAATCTATCACAGGAGTCTTCAAGGGTATCTCATCCATCTTTTGGGGCAATATCCACGGGTTTTTAAAACATAGACGAGAAATTTCAACGCAAAAAGGTGTTTCGGGTCTTGTTGTCGAGCTTTCGTCTTTGCCCTTCGGGGGCCCTGTTCTTACCACCAGATCGAGGATTTAGAAGATATTGGTTATCTGTTCCGTGCTGCACGACAAGATCAAAGCGTTGGAAAGAGAGTGAGTGAGAGGGTAGAATAGGGAAAGGAGAATCGACGAGAGCCAAACGACCGTGAAGAGGGAAAAGGGGGGGACACCTAGCCATGGTCTCGACATTCCTCACCCCGACGCGCGTCGCCAAAGAGCACGACCTGGCCTCGCTGCACCTGCGCCGCGACCAGGCCCTGCCCGTCGTTCTCTCCACACAGGTGACCCGGGACGCCGACGACGGGTACGCCGAGGGCGTGGTGACCAACACGCGGTTCGGCTCGTTTCCGCACTCGACCATCATCGGCGCTCCCTGGGGGAGCCAGATCCGGGCCAGCAAAGTCGATACCGGCTCGAGGGGGCGGATCAAGCAGAAGCAGAAACAGAAGCAGCAACAACAGAAGGGAAAGGATGTCGTCTCCGGCGGCGGCGGGAAGAAACGAAAGGCCGACGAAGCGCTCTTGGAAGATGAAGACAGGCGAATAAAGACGGCGGCGGAGGAGGAGTTGGTGGTGGAAGGGGACGAAGAGGAGGGAGGCCGAAGAAGCGAGCAGGTAAATCCTCCGCAAGACGGGGTGCAAAGAGGAGAAGGGACGGGGGCGGTCGAGGGAGCAGCAGTCAAGGAGGCCGTCGTGGCCGAGTCGGGCTTCGTGCACGTCCTCCCGCCCACGCCCGAGAACTGGACCACCAGTCTCCCCCACCGGACCCAGGTCGTCTACACGCCCGACTACAGCTACATCTTGCACCGGATCCGCGCGAGGCCGGGGAGCAGGCTGATCGAGGCGGGCAGTGGCAGCGGGAGTTTCACACACGCCGCCGCCAGGGCTGTCTTTTGCGGGTATCCCGAAGACGAGCACCGTTCTCGTCAAAGTGCGGACGAGGAGGAAGGGAGGAGCAGTGACGTCCCCGACGCAGTGCAGGGAGAGAAAGAGGGGATTGGAGAAACCACGCCAGATGACAAGGCCAAGGGACACGGGGACATCGACCGGTTCGGACGAGTATTCAGCTACGAATTTCACCGCGAGCGGCACGAAAAGGTCAAGGCGGAGATGGTCCAGCACGGACTAGACACCGTGGTGCACGCCATGCATCGAGATGTCTACAGAGATGGGTTTCTGATCTACGATTCTGAAGACATTCCCACCGGCGAGAAAACGTCTCCCAACGCAAACGCCGTCTTTCTGGACCTGCCTTGTCCGTGGGAAGCTCTTCCACATTTGACGCGCGAGTTGTCGCAGCAAGGTTCCCCCAGCGTCCTCGACCCTCACTCGGCGGTCCATATATGCACATTTAGCCCTTGTATCGAACAGGCGCAAAAAACCATCTCCGCGCTTCGGAAATATGACTGGATCGAGATCGAGATGGTCGAAGTCCAACACAAGCGCATCGACGTTCGACGAGAATACACCGGCTTGCAGTACAATGGCATGCGCGGCACCAACGCTTTTGCTGCGAATGTTGAGGAGGCGGTCTCTCGACTCAGAGAGGTAGAACAACGATTAAAGGATTTCCACACAGGAAAGAGCTTGGATGAAGACAACAAGTCTAGAAAGGTCAAGGACCAGCAACACCAAGTCGACGTGGGAAAACTACCATTCAACGGAGGCAGGCTCGTGCACAGGACAGAGGCCGAAGTGAAAACCCACACTTCGTACCTCGTCTTTGCCGTATTACCAAGGCTCTGGACCGAAGAAGACGAAGCCTTAGCACAGGAGAGGTGGTCGAAGCATGTCAAGATGGTATCGCATGCGCCCAAGAGCCAGCGCCAACTGAAGAAGGAAGCGAAACTAAGAGCGAAAGGTCAGCTCCAAAACGGTGTTAAGGACAAAGAGTCGGAGGTGAACGCAGAGGTCGCAAAGAATGCCATGTGACTAGTGGCTGAGTTGAATGCCCCAAGGGCGATGCATCTCGGGACAATGTAATGCCTTACCCCTGTTTCTAGAAGCCACACCAGAGTCAGCCTTGGTGGGATCTGATATCGCGCTGAACACACAGGACATCCATTATTAAGGGGCCTATTGCCATGTTAGCCTAGCTGATGGATCCATCTCGGCGATTTGCAAGGCCGCCTCAAGGCGTAACCATGAGATTCAGCCTGCCACGTGACTTTGTTCCCGTCAGGATCGATGACGAGGACAATCTACTCCATGGCAACACCTGAGAGGCACGTCTTCCTTCTAGGCTTGAATTCACAGACCGTGAGAACCTCTTCGGAGTTTGTCATAATGTCTGCGTCCAGAAGCACCGCCCCAATCGAGCCTCTAGGTTTTCTTTCATCAGGCTCTGGCTAATCCTCAAGCGGAAAGAGTTGCGAGCTGTGGAACTGTCAGCCAATTTTGGAATGGGTTTCGAGATTGCCTGCTGCCTGAGACCTGTTCGCTAAGAGAAGTGCGATGTTATTAGTGCCTGAAACAACCCACTCAGGGGTGGCACTCGTAGTCTTTTTCGAGGACCCGATCCAGATGGGCCTGCGAAAGGCTTTGCGTCGGGAATGGCACAAATATGATGCACCTTGTTGCCACCGATTCATTGTCCCCGGCTGGAGCATACTCGACCAGTGTAATAAGACATTGAAGCATAGATCCACGAAGACGATTTTCTTACCTATAGCTTGCAGCCTGTCTGTGGTCATCCTTCTAGAAGTTGGCGCTTCAGGTCTGTCGCCAGTCAACTGAGTTATTGCACTGCTCGGAAACTGTTAATTCCTCATATCAAACCCTGTGGCATCATGGACGCTTTGGGCAGATCTATTCCAACCCTCCTCCAGCTTGCTTCTCGAGCCGTCAACGAGAGCGAGTCCGGCAACAAGTCTCCTCAAGATTTCGCAAAGGAAGGCCGATACAACTATGTTCCATCATTTGCCGCGTCGGTCATTTTTCTCGTGCTGTATGGTGCTGCATCGATCACGAATCTGGGCATGATGTTCTGGCACCGATCCTGGTTTTGGTGGTCCATGAACTTTGCGGTGGCTAGTGAGTCTGACCCGTCGTACCCTCCATTTGCTGCTGCATGGCTGTCCTGACCTTGACACAGTGGAGTTTGTTGGATATCTGACTCGATCTATTTCCATCAAAAATCTCGATGGCAAGAGCGTCTTCATCGTCCAGACTGTTATGAGTAGGTCGCCCCCAAACAAAAGAAAGCATAGCAACCCGGCAAGGAACTAGAGGCCCCTATATTTCTTACCATTCTCTTTCTCCGCTAACCACCAAACCAGTTCTCGTCGCGCCCGCCGTGATGGCGGCAGCCTGTTATATGGCGTTCGGCCGGGTCGTGTTATGGGTGGTCCCTCCACGCTTTCAGACAGCTCGCCATCTGTGGGTGCCTGCACGCAGGATCACCCCCGTGTTTGTAGGATCGGATGTCTTCAGCTTCTTTGTGCAGGTCATTGGAGGCGCCATGGTCGCCGGAGCAAACACGAAAGAGCACGCAAACACCGGGAAAAACGTGGTGCTGGTCGGACTGGGTTTACAGTTGGCATCATTCGGCTTCTTCGTCTTCGCCGCCCTGCGACTCAACGTCCTGCTGAGGACCACGCTTCGAGATGTGTCACTACCGAAGGAGCGCAACTGGCAGTTGTTCTTGACGGTGATCAACGTGGCCAATGTATTGATTCTGATTCGGACGCTGCTTCGCTTCATCGAATTCGTCTTGGGGACGAGCAATTACCTCATCGATCACGAGTGGTTCTTCTATGCCTTTGATTCGGCGCTGATGTTCCTTGTGGTGATTGTCTTCATTGTCGTTCACCCAGGCCATTATTTGCCATATCTGGGGATTAGGAGAAGGGAACAACAGTTCTCAAGGAATGCAGACAAGGGCCCTTTTGCTAAGCTTTCGCAGGGCCACATGACGCTGGAGTTGTCCTGAGGAGAAGTTCCGGGCACCGAATGGCGGTAGCTAGGACGAGAATGGGCTGGAGCAAAGATGGCAAGAGGGCATGCGGCTATGCCACGGAGTGATAGTGCCGAGATGGTGTCTATTGGGTGGTTGCTCTTTTCCTCTTTTGAGAAGGACAGACTCTTTCGCCGGCCTTTGGTACCCTCTGATATCGCCGTTATTGGTGGCGACGAATATCTCGAGCTAGAGTCTTGGCTTCGGCAAAAGTGTAGGCTGGGTGGCAGCAAAGCAGAACGATGGATGCACGTGGGTGTGGATAGGATCGATAGTGGTGTTCGGTTGTTGGTCCTGTGCCTGGTCGTTGTCACCCGGTATTGGGGAATTGAGGGTTGGGATTGGTGTTGATCAACTTCACCTACTTGTACTCGGAGTATCCCATCAATTATTGGTTCTGCTGTACCAGTCCGGATCCTGTCAAGCGTGGGTACGGCCCTGATAGCGGCTACGGGCTGTCATGCTAGAGTGTCGATCAATGACTGAGGGATGGAGCCCGTGGCCGACTTCCGAGTGTCTATTTGAACTGTGGCGCGGAGGCCCAACTCGGTTCTGGCGAAGGAGTGAAGGTGCAGACGGCAAGTCTTGAAAATGATGGTGGTGGTGGTGGTAGTAATTACTCGTCCAAGTAGTACATAGTGACAGAAAGATAGACGGCGAGGCGGATAATTACCGGGTGGGTTGGTGTGTGGCACCTGCGGTGGTTGATCCGGCTTGGACGGCATCTTGCTCATTCTCTCTGCCTCCCTCTCTCTCTCTCCTGCGCTGCGCTTCACCTGCACTTCACATCCATTTCTTGCTACCCCAGCGGCATATCCACCCTGTATACCTCATACTGCCGATATCGTCGCAAACCATCCTCCTCTGGGCAGTTTTTGCGAGCCATCCTGAGGCTGGGAAGTCAAATCACAACCCACCGGAAAATGACCCGGGTGTGCTTGTCCAAGTCGACTTGGTACGATGAGATCGCAGACTTTGGCCAGGACATTCTCTAGCTTCCTCCATCTTGTAAGGTCTTGGTGGCGCAATACCACCAGTGACATGGAGCAATGCAAGCCATCAACGACATTCATGCCCGCCCATGCCACCATCAAGACACCAAGCCCGCCCATCCATGTAGACAAGAAGAGACGAGCATCACCTCAAGCATTGGCATCCGCTACTTATCCCCACACTTGACTCTTGTCGCGTCTCATGCCGTCTTGATAGGATCCCGTTTCATTGCATCTGCTAAGCCTCCTTTGCGGCGGCATTCTTATCCACATGTTACCTGCTCAAGCTGCTAACCTGGCCAGCGTCGTGGGACAAGGGAAAATCTACCCTCTTCCAAGCTCGAATGCCCACTATCACGTCCCCGAAATTACGCGGACTGTTTGCCCACAGTCTTAAATCAAACCGCCGATGTATCAACCGCCACTTTGGTCGACCCTTTCCGATGCTGAACTGGGTATGTCGTCAACAGTGTGGCGGTCTTCGTGGTTGGTCAAAAGACGACAAGCCGTCGCTTGGTATCGTCGCTAGTCCTTTTTTCCCCTTGTCCACCATGAAACAGCTGTATTTTTTTTACATATAGTACGTGTTGGCCTCTTTCTGCGTGAAGGATAGCTACAATGCTGCCTTGGCCCTGCTCCAATGCCTCTCATGGGGCATCGGCGCTTCGAGATGAAGCCTTTTGCCATCAGGCTTCTCCTCTGGGCAGTCGTTGTTGTCGCTGGTGCTTTTGCCCTCTACCTAACCATTTCATATGCTGCAATTCCGCTCCTTATCTGGTTGTCTCCGACGCTGAATCCGACCTTGTATGATCTGGGCTTTTATGGTGGTTCACCATCGCAGACATATATCTCCAATGGGTTGAGTTCGCCGCGAGTGAGCATAAGCAAATATGACCCAAATTGTGACAAGGGATATACCTTTCTCAATTACAATGGTGGCTCAATGCCTAATCCTGGTCCAGCTATCCTGGACAGCAACAGTGAGCTTGTTTGGAAAGGACAGAATTTTGATGTGACGACGAACCTGAAGGTGCAGAGTTATATGGGTCAGCAATACTTGACGTTCTGGTCCGGTAAAAAGGGAGGGACTATGGGCAAAGGCGTCTATTACATGGTGAGTTTGCGACTTTGTCATCATATGTCCGCTACTAATGAAAGGACTAGCTGGATAGCTCGTACGAGATCAAACACACAGTTGCAGCAGTTGCTCGAGGAAGCGACATCGAAGGCGACCTGCACGAGTTCAAGATCACCAAAGACAATACCGCACTGTTAACATTCTACAACATCACCCCAGCTGACCTCTCCTCATTGGGAAAATGGAAGAATGGATGGGTCACCGACAGTGGCTTCCAGGAAGTTGATATTGCGACTGGTGAGCTGCTCTTCGAGTGGAAAGCCTCGGAGCATTTTCAGGTCAATGAGACCTTCATGACTCACCCATTCGGCGGATATATCAAAAGTATTCCTTTCGACTTCTTCCACATCAACAGCGTCGACAAAGACTCCAAAGGCAATTATCTCATCTCTTCGCGCCACACCCACACGGTCACCTGCATCAGCCCAGATGGCGAGATTATGTGGATCCTTGGCGGCCAACGTAATCAATTCAAGGATCTTTCAGGGGGCGACGCGCTCAACTTCAGGTGGCAGCACGATGCCCGATGGTTGGACGAACAAGAAGGGATTCTGACGCTTTTCGACAACAAGGAGGGAGGGCCCTTGCATGTCGACGGTCCCTACAGTCGAGCGCTAATGCTCCAACTGGACATCGCCAACCGGACTGTAACCCTCCTGCATTCTTATATTTCTCAATATCAAACACGGACACCTTCTCAAGGGTCGGCGCAATACCTTCCTGACAGCAGACACATGTTTGTGGGCTTTGGCCACTCGCCAGTTTTGAGCGAATTTTCTCTGGACGGCACTCTGCTGTGCGAGGTCCATTACGGTGCACCATGGCTTCATGTCTTCACTACTGCAGTTTCGTATAGGGCTTACCGATCAGCGGACTGGGTCGGTGAGCCTCGACAGCCGCCAGCCGCCACCATCTTGGACGATATACTCTACGTCAGTTGGAATGGAGCGACTGAAGTAGTGGCATGGGTATTGCAGGGAGGTGGCACAGGAGAGCAAGAAGAGGAGGAATGGACCGATCTCGATTTCATTGATAAGGAGTTCTTTGAAGAAAGCTTTGATCTATCTCAACTATCTCAGTATTCCCAATTCCGCGTTGGCGCCTTGGGTCGCGAGGGTCAGATCTTGGGATACTCGGATATCGCTCCACGAGAAAGCTCTGGGAGTTGGTGGGGCTTCCTCCTTGCTGTGTTTCTATGGGGTTTGGCATCCAAGATGGCCTGGATGGGCTACAAATGGTTCTCACAGCACAAGGGAGCCAGTAAGAGAGGCGTTTCGTGGGTTGTTTGGAAAAAATCGTGACAGGATTATTAGAAGGCGTTTCTGCATGGCTCAAGCATTTACAAGGAACAAACTTGCAATTTTGTAGAGACAGAGATGCTCAAATTGTATGGATGCACTGATTGTACTCGGTACCTTTACATTCCTTTCAGGAACGAAAATGATGATCACTCATAGAATGAGGCGCCCATAGCATCCGACCCGCAGTCCAAAAAAGGTCCTAACAAGCTAGCTTGTTTGCTTGTGGCCTCCTCATATTTAAGTGGGTGAAAGTGGCACAAGTGGCTCCGGGGTATTTTTATTATTATTCGATGATTTTGCGAGCCTCATTCCAGTCCAAATCGAAATTCCATTCGTCGCTGCGTGACTCAAAAACTAACTGCCTTGCCTGCGCCCAACTCAAGGGGAGGTGACTCAGTAAGAGAAGCCTAGAGTCTCATGAGCTTTTTGAAGCGTCCATTCTGCTCATCAGCTCTGAGACTCTGCACCAAATCCACCAGAATGGCTCAACCTCCCTGGACCATGCCAACGGGCACCACCCACCAGCCGCAGTTGAAGATCTACAACTCGTTGACCCGGTCAAAAGTCCCCTTTGTCCCTATACAGCAAGGCCACATCTCGTGGTATGCCTGCGGTCCCACGGTCTACGACGATGCCCACCTGGGCCATGCGCGCAACTATGTGACGACGGACATCATCCGACGTATTCTGCGTGATTACTTTGGCTTCAAGATCCGCCTCGTGATGAACACGACCGACATTGATGATAAGATCATTTTAAGAGCGAGGCAACGGCATCTATATGATGAATACAAGAAGAACCACCGGTATGTTTTGTTGTCGGCAGCCGCAGACACTTCCGTGCATATAGAGATGCTGACTTGGACCCATCTTAGGTACATCGACGATCAAGTCCGTCAAGACGCCCGGCAGGCCTGGCTCTACTACATCCAAAAGAACCTGAAACGCATCGGACCCAAGGATTCAGCGACGCCCGAGACGTTTGACGGATTCGTCGAGCACATATATGGAGACATCCTCGCGGGGGGCAGTCTGGAGCCTGGCACGAAGCCTGGTGACAAGGAGGCCAAGATCAAGATGCACATCAACACCGCCCGCAACGCGGCAAAGGCCCTGATGCAAGATCCCAAACTCCTGACCCCGCACGAGTTCTACAACCGCGTGAGCGATCCCATGTGCCTGGTTCTGGACGAGCAGTTTGGGAAAACGATCCGTGGGGACGACTACGCCGTGTTCACGAAACTGACAAAGGAATACGAAGCCCGGTTTTTCCAGGACATGCACGACCTCAACGTCATGGATCCGGATGACCTGGTCCGGGTCACCGAGCACGGCAAGGAGATTGCAGAATTTGTCAAAAAGATCGTGGACAACAAGATGGGATACCGGACGTCAGAGGGTTCGGTGTATTTCGACATCAAAGCGTTCGAGGCCGCCGGATACCCTTATGCGCGGTTAGAGCCCTGGAACAAAAACGACAAAGAACTGCAGGCCGACGGCGAAGGTGCCTTGTCACAAAAGGACGCCTCAGCCAAGAGGTCCGATGCCGACTTTGCCCTGTGGAAAGCGTCCAAGCCCGGCGAGCCCAGCTGGGACAGCGAATGGGGCCCTGGTCGGCCGGGGTGGCACATTGAATGCTCAGCCATGGCGTCTGGGAAGCTCGGTCAACAGATGGACATCCACTCTGGCGGGATCGATCTGGCTTTTCCTCACCACGACAATGAGCTCGCCCAGAGCGAGGCATTCTGGGCGAATCATGGTCAATGGGTGAATTACTTCCTCCACATGGGCCACCTGTCCATTCAAGGTTCAAAGATGTCGAAATCCCTGAAAAACTTCACTACCATCCGAGAAGCCCTCCATGTGAGAAAGGACTGGACGTCCAGGAGTTTGCGGATTGTCTTCCTGCTCGGAAACTGGAAGGACGGGATAGAGATCACGGACGACATGGTCACCGAAGGCAGAAACTGGGAAGACCGTGTGGACAACTTCTTTCTCAATGCCGTTGATGCCATGAAGAACACAAAACCCTCCGATGAGCAGCGAGCCAGTCTCGAAGACGCCGTACTAGACGCCGAAGAGAAGGTTCGAAATGCGTTACTCGACTCCTTCAACACACCCGTCGCCATGAACACCATCTCACAGCTAATCAACACATACAATAACAGCGCCAAAAATTCCGAATTGACTGCAGCCGATCATCGCAGGGTCGGCCTTTTCGTTACACGCCTAGTCAACATCTTCGGCCTGAATGGCTCTGAACCAGCAGACACCAATCTGGTCGGCTGGAAAGGCATAGAGATTCCCGACGCCGCAAAAGAATTTGTGTATCCGCTGGCCAGAATACGTGACGAACTGCGGCAAGCCGCCATTGCCAAATCCATCACAGCCGAGAAAGTCCAGGAAATCGTTTCTACCACACCGACAGGGCTTGAAGATACCCCTCCACTCGGGAGACCGCGACCTTCGTATGCCCGTGCACTGAGCGAATTCAGCAGGGACGCCCTCCAAACAGCTTCCACCCCCACTGGCACACAACCCCCGCTTGATATCAACAAACAGATCCTCGCGCTCTGCGACCGAGTCCGAGATGTCGATCTCTGGCAACTCGACATATTCCTTGAAGATCGAGAAAACGCCCCTGCGCTGGTCCGGCCCGTCACCGAAGGCCTCAAGGCTGCGCGGCGCGAAAAGGAAGACAAGGCCCGCCAAAAGGAGGAGGCGAGGAGACAGCGCGAGAGGGAAGCGCAGGAGAAGCTCCAGAAGGCCAAGATCAGTCCGACCGAGATGTTCAAACCGCCACATTCGGTGGAGTATTCGTCATGGGACGGGGATGGTGTGCCGACGACGGCCAAGGACGGGACGCCTCTGACAGCAAGCCGGGTGAAGAGGCTGAAGAAGGAATGGGAAGCACAGAGGAAGGTGCACGAGAAGTACCTGGCCACGATTGGGCTGCCGAACGGTTCGGGACCGTCATCTGCTGCTCGCTAGGAGTGAGTGGGTAGTTTTAGGTTGAGGCATCAGACCGACTCCCAGCTGTAGATTCTTTCCTCGTGGGCTCTTTTCTTTCATGATGTAGGACTGTATAAGATACCCAGCTTCTCGGAGACATGGCTCGAGGGCACGAGGAACGAGGAGAGAAAAGAGGAGCGCGCGAATGGAAAACAAAAAGCACCACTGAACTGGATAGATTCCTTTGCAAAGAAAAGAATCATAGCTTTCCTTCCCGTTTCAACCCGTCGTAGAGCGCCATGGCCGCCAGCGTCTTGCCGTCTCTCCACGCGACCTTCCAGACATCGTGCAGCCGGACGATTCGCAGGGTGATTTTCTCGCCGTGATCCCTCAGCCCCGTCAGTTTGCCCTTGAGGGCCTCGATCTGGGCGTGCGGGAGCGTCTTGCGGGCGAGGAAGATGGGGATGAATTCATCCGAGCCGCCCGGGGACGGGTACATGGCGGACTGGAGTTGCTCGTCGCCTTTTCTTTCTTCTTCTCCTTCGGAGGAGACACTCTTCTGTGGGTCGGTGGTGACGCAGGCGGCGAGTCGCGTCATGTCGACGAGTTCGTCGGCCGAGATCTCCAGCCCCGTCTCCTCGTGTATCTCCTTGGCCGCGGCGCCCGCGAACGTGCCGCTGTCGTCGATCATGCCCGCGGGCAGTTCGACGAAGCTGAGCGAACCGGCGGGGATGCGGGGCTGGATCGTCAAGATGGCGTACTCTTTTTCTTCTTCGTCGTCGTCGTCGTTCCCTCCCGGCTGAGGCCTTGCCTTGGAGGAGGTCGTACCTCTCGCGGATGATTGCTTGGGGAAAGTGCCAGGCGACGACGACGCCGCCGTCAGGACGATCAACATGGCAACACTCCCGCCGCGCATGAACACGGAGCCGGGGAAGGACTCGTCATTGTCGTTGGTCACGGTGGCTTTCAGCTTAAGGAAGCCGAGACGACCGCTGGAGAAGAAGTCGGCGGATTGAATCTCGATGGATCTCAGGGAGTACGGGGTCGTGTGAAACGGGTGGCTTGCCGAGCTGTGCTGCAGGGAGAGATTCCTCTGTAGGGTATCCAGCCACGTCTTGAAGGCCGGGAAAGTGAGAAGTTGGTCCTCGGTGAGCGTCGAGGGATGGGTGACCGGGATTTCGGGGTCAGTGTCGGGGAGATTGAATGTGGTTGTTGTCGGCCGTGGCGGCGATGACGAGGACGCCATCGTCCTGGACAGTACAGGGAATGGTGGGAGCGAGTGTTGAAGTTGGCGCGAGAGATGCTTCAGCCTGGAAATCATGGACTCACCGGGCAGACAGAGTATGCACGCTAGCTTTGATGTGAAGATCTTGCTCTCGGCGGTTGACAAGAGTGACAGTCCTAGTACGACGTCCTTGTTTCGAGTGAATGCGAAGTCGAGGGAGACCAATCGTAGCCAGTCTCAAATTGGAACTAATTGGAACGGTAAGAACCTTGTCTGACATTCTGTAATGACACATATCCCGGTAAGTTTTGTGTGCGGATGTGCTGGAAATACTAATGTCATAATCAAATGAAACCCGTAAATGACGCTGGTCGGATTTCTCTCTCACAACCTCCAACCACTCGCACACACTCTTCTCTCTGTGTGTAAAGACACATGTGACGGGATCCCATCATTCTACAAATTTCCCCGCCAAACACCGCCGACTTTCTATACTCGAACCGCCCTAGCACCCAACGACAATGAACAAAACTACCAGCGCCGCTGCTAAAGAACCAACCATCACCACCACATTCACTCTCCGCAACCCTCCATACTCTTACTTCCACCTGTACCTGCACACCATCCCTCTGCACACTGACAAGGCGCTGGACGAAATCACCCTGCGCTCGTACCTCTCGGCGGCGCTTCAGCAATATCTCGGACTGACCGGGGGAGCCATCCCCGTGGACATTTTGAAGGTCGAGGGGTCCGATGCCTGGATCCGCGTTCCCAGTGACGATGAGGTCGCTGTCACGGCCGCGGTGAGTCAGTGGGTCGGTGTCAGGGGCGTGAGTTTGGCGATTGTGGCGAGAGGGTCGTGGTTGGGCGGTGTTGTTGCAAAAGGGGCGACAAAAGGACTGTGGAGTCTGGGGTGACCGCTAAAAAAGAAAAAAAAAAAGAATCCTCCTCTGCCGAAACGATATCTAATGTATCTGTCGAGGTGATGGAACAACGTGTCTCGACATGCAAAGCCCATGTCCGTCGTTCAAGGCTATGGTGTTCACACGCCCAGCGCTTCATGCAGAGTGATTTCATCCGAGTCACTGTCGACATCGAGTTTGTCCTCCGCCACGAAGGCGTCAGTCTTTGAACGACTTTTCCGAGACAGCCACCCAAAGGGTTTTCGAGGCTTTGCTGTGTCTGTGGTTCTCAGCAAATGCGCGATAACCATCACGGGGGATCGATGCAAAATACCTTTTTCCGCCATGGCCAGCTGCTTCAATGCGGCTTTTCGGTCCTGCTTGGCCTGGTCTCTGAGGAGCTTCTCCTGTTGTTTGCGAACCTTCTCAGACTGCTTCCACGCGGCGCGACGTTTATTGTACTCTTGGACTTCAAAGTCATGTTGGACGGAATATGGTGAGAGGGACATTGCGAAGAGATCTTGGGGTTCGTGGAGGGTACAGTAATTGGGACTAGATATGAGGACAGAGATGTGGTCTACTCAGACGACTTCCTGGTGAGCATGATCCGGTTTCATTGCGATCATGGACGATACTTATAGCCATCCCGGACTATGGAAAAACCGAGATGGCCGTGGAAGGGTCTTGTGGATGACCAAGGGGACAATACATGAGCATCAGGCTCTACGGCGGATAGGTGGCCCGTGCGATATCAGCACCTACAGGACTTTGCTCTGGTGGTTTCTGTCGCTGGGAGTCGGGCCGGAAAGCAGAAGATTGATAATGAACGATTCTGTCTCATCACGCTGTCCAGATGATAGGAATTGAGCGGACCGCAGCCCGTTGTCGCGGTGGAGAATGTCTGCTCGGTGCCTTGACGGGCCATGTCTCGCCGATACATGATAGCACGATCGACTTTTGTTGCTATATTGCCACGATTGCAGACGATCACGTTGGAGCATTCTGCATGTGTATGAGGTGTTGTCTAGCACAAGAGAGACATGGTTACTTGTGCTCGTACATCAACATTTTTACTCGGTATGGTAAGGGCGGTTTCTCGCCTGCGGTCTATAGTCTTGTGGCGTTTGGCGGACTGGCCGAGGCTGGCTGGAGACGTCCATTCTGTTACTAGTGAGCGGGTTGAGCGATTCCAGCCGAAACCTTACAGTGGCCATGATGACCGGAAACGGCATTGTCACTCCTAATTAATTGATAAAATCTGCAGGGAGGGAGAAAGTTGGACTTTTGACGGAACCACTTACAGGGGTTCATGATTCTAGAACCCGGTCCTCGTCGCCATCTGGGCCATGGACAACCACTACCGAATTTCCCCAACACACATGGCTCAAAGTGCCTCATGTCCACATGGCGTCGCTAACGTGCGCCATCACCCAAAGTTTTCTCCTTTCTCCCCTCAATGCGCTCCATTGAAAGGGGATTGTTTGGTCTTTGAGGCGAGGCCATGTTGAGCATCGCTCGGTTTAAAATGTCCTGGCACCAGCTGGCGAGTCTTGTGCGTCGTGTGGTGTGTCGTTCAGTTTGACTTTGTTTACTTGTCACTCTCTTCTTCATATTTGCTGCGCCTGGCGCCATTGAAGAAAGGAAAAAAAATGCCTTCAATCGAGGAATATCTCTTAAAGGAACCCCGGCTCAATGTCCACAGCGTCAACTCCTCCAAAGATGACCTCCCTCGGCCATACGGGAGTCAGTTCCAGAGCCAGCCTGTGTCGCCGCCTCCGCCCCCGAATGCCCTCCCTCCTAAACCTCTGAGACCTCTTCGCAAATACTGCACCGTCCGAAATGGCCTCATCACTTTTGGTGTCTTTCTGGTCTATGCGGCGTGCATCATTGGCTCCGTCCTCCCCGGTCTGATCGCCGGGTTCCCCTTCTACACCCTCCTCGATATCTTCGGGAATCGTCGACTGGCGGTGCGACTCTTTCCCTGCGACCCTTCTCTCTATTCCGGGCGGTTCGCCATCAACTTGGCTTGGGGTTCGTTCACGTACACGTCGGTCAAGATCCTGGATGCAGGTCTCAACTTGATCCTGGGCAGGGGCTCGCAGGTTTTCTTGTCCTGGCTCTCGTACCATCTCTTCAGCATGGCCATCCTCCGGATTCTCCAGAAGGAGCGGGTGCCGTTGCAGTTGTACACGGCCATGGCGTTCGATACGACGTCCATCAAGGGGGCGTGGTACCAACTCCGAGCTGTCACAAAGGTGGACACGGTCCGTGCCCGGGTCACCCTCATCTGGCTTGCCGTGTCGGTGGCGTACCTGATTGCGTTGCCCACCCTCCTCGATCTGACCACCGGGTACATGGTCGAGTACAAGACCATGGTCAACATCACCACTGCAGGAGACTCAACATACAAACTGATTGAGCTCGACTACGACCAACTCGACAGGATTTCACTGGACGCGCACTGTGCGAGTAGTGGAGGGTGTCGCGTGGACTACCCAGGCCAGTTCACCGACGTGTTGATCGCGGGGCAAAACATGTCGTTCAAGGCCTTCGTCGACGACAATTACAACTGGGTCATGCAGACCGACGAGACCCCCAGGGGCATCCTGCAGTGCGTCCCCAGCACCACGTACCAATGGGGCCTGTCCAGCGGCTACCTGTGGATTGTCTGCGCCTTGACCAACTTCTGGATCGCCGGCATGTTCGCCGTGTGGATCGACAGCTTCCGCAACGGCATCCTCTGGCGCAGCGGCCGCGGGTTCGGGCGGTACCGCAACATCATCGACATCGCCGAGCACCTCCAGGCGCGCTTTGGCCACGACCTGTGCGGGTACACGCACGAGGAGCTGGAGAAGAAGGTCGACGCCCTCGACCCCGTGGGCATCGAGGTCCTGGCCGAGGGCGAGTGGGCGCACATCCGCCTGAGCCAGAACCCCGGCGGGCAGCATCTGCTGTGCACGCCCGGTCTGCAGTACGGGGGGATTGGGAGACTGAACAACCGAAGAGTCTCGGCCACGTGGCCGTTGCCCAGTCGAGGACTGTAAATCGAGGGGGAGGAGACCGTGGTTATAGACTAATGACCAATGTACGTATTTTTGTTCACGATATTTTCCGACAGTATCCTAGTCGTGGTCGATGTAAGATCCTCATCCCTCCATACGAGCAGATACTACCTACTGGATACAGGACCGAGTACATGTGCATGCGATCGACGCAGGGAGAAAGGATTCTGATTTACAACCCCCGATCCATCCGTCTCCTTACCTTACCTAGAGGTAGCTTTCATTCATTGACCATCGTGACCGCCCTCTCCACTTACCAAATGGCGTCAACGCTTGATACGTAATATCGCCCTATTGCAATCCCAATTACGTCAGCCTTACTGGCCACCTAACTAGGCCTCTTGCCTCGTGCAAATATAAAGGAGATATCGCACACCTCCGCTGGGTAATGGTCATGGCCACTCTCCCCTCCACCCCTCCCCCCAAGGTAAGGTGAACGGCAAACAAAGAGACCAGTGTGATGGTCACGGTGGTAGTGATGGTGATGGTGATGGCGATGGCGATGGCGCTTAGAGTGGGAGGGTACCATCCTACCAAAACGAACCAGACTGCGTTGTCGGATGTATGTACTCGGTAAGTATGTGCAGGAGGAGTACGCCGCTCTCTTTTTCCGTCTTTGACCCTTACGTCCACTCAACCAAACACTTTCGCCAATATGCCGCGACGGTGTAACCAGGGTAGGTAGCTCCAGAGGGGTCTGACGACGCCTTCACCGTCGAGGTTGTGTGACAGCAAGAGACAGACAGGGAGGATCTGAGCAAACAGTCAAGTAGTTGGGTAGTCTTGACAGTCAGCGATATCATCACCGCCTGTGCCTGCCTGTGGTCACTTCTGACAGACAGACAGACATATAGAAAGACTGGAAGACTCGACATTAAGTGGGAGAGTCAAGAGCTGCTCAAGATGAAATTGGACGTTAGCCTATGGTAGAAGAGACGTGCGAGATGAGAACGTTTCTCCTATAGAAAAAGTATAAGAGTTCGATCGACGTTAGATCACTCACCAAATCAGTGTCAAGAATGATGCCAGCGCCCCATGGCGGACGGCGGCTGAAAGACACGGGAAGAAGGGGCTGGCTGGCTGGCTGGTTGGTCATGTAGTACCAGAGAAAAGGAAGGGGGGCGGGGGGCACTGATCCTACTGTAAAGCTTTGCGTTTTGAGGTGTTGAGTTAGGTTGGAGCCTTGGAACCATCGTGGAAGTTGAGGAGGGTGAGAGACTCAATAGGTACTTGGTGCTGTTGGTGTACTCCGTATAGACAATACAAGTACATATATACAGAGGAGTTTGAACCCAACCGACCACCTCAGCCAATCCGATTCCAGATATATCCTCAATTGGTGAAAACGCCTCATATTCCCGAGGATGGACACTGTAGGTACCTACATAGGTATGTATGGGATGGATGTTGATAAGTGGATGGATGATGGATGATGGATGGGTGGGTGATGGACATGATAGATATGTGTGATGTCCCACAAATCTGCATGTATTATAACTCCACAGCAGTGAGTGAGTAGTGAGTTATTGGTAGTGAGAACGTACATGGTACATGGTACAGACAATACCGTACAAGCTAAAGGCAAGAGTGGGAAAAAAACCATTCTATATCGAGCACAGTGTGTAGACATACACTACATTATGTACATCACCCCTATTCATTACATCTATCTATACATCACCTCTCTCTCTCTATCCCAGATATTCCATAAATCTCATGTATACATTCCAAACATTCCAGACATGCATCCCATACAGCGTATTCCCTTTCCGCCCCACTGCCTCACTGCCTCACTGCCTCTCTCCCTTTTCCTCCTCCCCACCATTTATCAGTCATCTCCAAGGATGACACTGTTGCAACCATACTGGTGTGATTCTCATGGCTTGGCCTGGCCGGGGCTGGCTTGTCTGAGCGTTCCGATCGTTCTGATCGGAGACGTCATATGATCCCATCTCATTCACCTCATAACATAATATGCATAGCATTGCCTTGCCTTGCCATACTCGATACGGGCTCCTCCGGGACCCCTATGTGCTTGCACTTGTACTTGTACCGCATGCATTGTGAACTCGGGAGATAGTTTGTGTGAAGAGAGGGAGAGAGGGAGAGAGCAAGGGTGAATAGTAGATAGTTTTTGTGTGGGTGAAGTGTAGCTGAGTCTCTTCTAGTGCAAGCCAACATCGTTGACTCCCCGAGAGGAGGGCGACATGTACTTGGGCAGTATACCGCGCGGTCTCGGGCCAACCTGATAACAACCAGAGCGGCGGGTGCTGGTCGAGGGCGAATACCGAGCGACGTGATTGTAGACCGTGGGTCAATCATACAAGTAGGTAGCTGGTAAGGCCCGAGCAAAGGCGTGAGGCGCTTGGATGACTTCGACTCGACTTCGATATTATTTGGTAGATGGAGTCTCAAAACTGAAGATTCGATCTCGCAAGAACCTTGCATGATGGCTCGGTTATATGCCACGAGGCCATATGGAGGATACTGGCTGTCGAGATAGGCTCATGATCTGTCTATCCTTGTCTCGCAGTGGGACTTGTCTTTTGACGACTCATGGTGACAGTGGCGGTGATGTACGTCCATTTGACAAGGCTTCACCATGGCACTCAGTCACCATTCCATATTTGTCAAAGGCTCAGCAGAGACGAGAAGACCCTTTGGACCATCTTATCTGCAATAAGACAAGATGGTCGACGGGATTGTGTGGGTGCAGTCCCGCTGCAAAAATTCGCATCGGTGATACCAACGAGACCAATTCACACGGTCGACGTCACCGTTGATGGCGGCAGACGTTCATCAACCCAGATCATAGGCCATTTTCTCGACCGCACCGTCCTCATGTACGATTGCTGCTCGTTGGTGGGCTGGGGTAGTTCTGCCGTGAACTCGCGGCGTGCGACGACGCGATGGAGTGCTGCGGCACCCGCCACCACGATCCCAGCGATCAGGATGCACAGAAACACCACGAGTCCGTCTGACAGGCCCATGGTGGTCGAAATTTAGACCAAAATACTTTTTGAGAGGGAGGAATGCTCGAATTAAGGCCCCGATCGACGTTTTGAATGTCAAGGGATCAGTGGGTGGAACAGGGAATGGAAAGAGTGCAAAAAGAAAAGAGAACCATTGGGAGACTCACCTGACGCGGACTTTCTGTATATACATATCTCACTAGAGAAATGTTCGCACAGTGTCTCGGCACATTGTCTCTCCCGGTGGACACCAACCCGGATCGCAAGAGAGCATTACGACGCAAAATCCCCCCTCCTTGAGGATGGCGGGCTGCCTGATGCAGGATTCCCCAGCACCAGCCCAACACCAACTGTGCATAACGAGAATGTTGTGTGGGCAGGTGGAGCGACAAACACACAGCGCGTCCGCATCCGAGGGGCTTTAACTCGACGAGAAGAGCCAATGAAACCGTCAGGATCCAGGACACCAGCGCGCGTAAGCCCAGAGTTTTTCCAGTTTGTCGCAAAGCCTGCACGGTTCAGGAGGATGGTCTCAGATCGCATACCGGGACCCAGTGAAATATTGTGCTTTTGTTTTCCATCCCCTTCTCAATTCGCTCTTTTCTGCAACGCCGGATGACCTCGGGAGAGCCACGGGTTGCGGCTGGTGGAGACCAGTTCACCGGTTTTCCCAAGGCTGTTTGTGGCTGTGAACACGCCAATGACGAAGTAGGCTGCCATGCTCGCTTGGGTTAATTTAAAGAGAGACCGCTCAGCCTGGTCCATAAATGACTCGAACGCCGGTGGACAACACGGAAGCAGTTGAAGAAAGACAATTCTGCCTTGTATACCTTGTATGCCTTGTATGCCATGTATGCCTATCGCCCAGGATCCTCCGACACTGTACCCTCGAAACAAAAGCCTACTCAGGGGTAAATAAACGACTTGCCATCTCTTCAATCCCCCTTGGGGGCCGTCCCAGGATTTCACCGATCAAGGGATCAACTGTCGCTGTCTCCCCTTTGGCGATTCCGTCCTGAATTGCTGTTAGCACCAATCTGGTCGGACGGGAAAGCCAGGCTTGTTGCTCTGGAATACTTACATGCCAGCCACTCCAGCTCTCCACAACCCAGAAGTTGTCCTCGGGCACACTTTTCTTCTCAACCTTGTGATAGCGTTCGGCTTCCTCTCTGCCCACGATGTCGACTTTGACTGTGCGCCCGGTGTGCTCCTCGACCAGCTTGGCGACATCGCTGATGCTGGTTGCTCGTGGACCAGTCAGGCTCAATGTCTGACCGAGATACTTCTCATAATTTTGGAGAATCTTTGCAGTCGCTTCCCCCAGGTCATCCCATGTGACCCAAGCCACTGGACCATCATTTGGAATGACAAATCTGATCTCGCCTGCGTCGCCCTTTTTGAATTTTTGTGGTTGAAACCCAGCGTAGAGCCACCAGCTTTCTGCATAAATCCCCTCTCTCACAATAACATATTGCAGTCCGCTTTGTGTCAGATATTGGATAGTCCTGATATGCGCTTGCTGAACACCCGCTATGCTGTCTAGGCCGGTCTTGCCGCCAAACATCAAGCTGGTATAAATCACAGTCTTTACACCAGCCTGTTTAGCCGCGTCGATTGCAGCCTTATGATGGAGCCATCTGTCGACACTTGGCGAGGGAAACGAGACCAGAAACAGAGCGTCGGCACCTTTGAAAGAAGCGGCCAACGAGCCAGGGGACGTGAAATCGCCATGGCGGATCTCGATGCCGGCATCACGGGCAGCAGGGGATACTTTGTCCGGATGGCTTGACGAAATGATCAACTGTGATGGTGGAATCAACTTCTGGCGTAGCAGTGTATCCAAAACTCGGGACCCCAAATGTCCCGTGGTTCCTGTAAGCACAATCATTGTGTTCTGTTTATACGCGATCCCGAAAACCCTAATGAGCTTATCGTGCAGTTTAACAAATGATTGAGTGTAGTGAGTGTACTTGTAGAGGTTTGATGACCTGGAAATTTCTCCACAACCAC